CCCATATAGGGTTTTACTAACGGTCCTATTCTGGCCCAAAACTGGTTCCCAGGTCACCAATATTGGCGCGATAATGGCACCCATGATTGGCACAGCAATGGGACTTCTCTGGAACGATAACTTCGGTCCAGCAATAGGTAACAATGTACGGCCAAACATGGCAACCAATCATGGGCCATTACTGGTCAATATATCATGCCAACATTCGGCCATTAATGGTTAATCTATCCTGCCAATATTTGACCATTAAAAGTTAACCTATTATGCCAATAATAACGTTTTTATGATGCCCGGTCTAGCTTTATTATTATTTTATTGCTTTATTGCACAAATATAGTTTTACAAATATACATCTTTCAAAATATATTTTACTCGAAAAATTTACCATTTTTATTATTAATACTTATAGATATATAATTTTTATGTATTTTTTAATGTATATTTTAATTTTATGTATATTTTAATGTATTTTTAATAATTGAATCCTATTTAACAATAAAAAAACAATTCGGTTAAACCTGGCACTGCAATGTAAGAAAGCTATGTTGGCATTCTTACGGTACAGTATTTATTACTTAGAAAAGAAAAGTTAAAAAATATTTTAAGTTTAAAAATTCTTTTTATTATGTTTTAAAAAATATATATGTTTCCATTCTTTTTAAGTAGGACGAACTCAAATTGTTAATTTATACATTTACATTTTTTTCTCGTTGTTTACGGCCGCCTTCTCTATCGCCAGCTCGGGATAGCCACATGCCCACCTGGCCCGGTAATTTTTTAACATCTATTTTCTCTCCATATTTTTCAATCAAAGCATCTGAGAAAAATATTATGTTATAATAAATATTCTAGTTACAAATTATATAAGACATAAGGATTGATATTAAAAGAAATTTATTTTACCTCTTAAACACAGATATGTGTTTGTCGCACTGAAATTTCTTTTCCCTTGACCATGAATTATTTTTCCAGTTCCCGAATATTGCAATTCGACCGTTTTGACAATCACTGATCCTAAAGTTTTAGCAATGCTGTCTTTTACGGTTGCATCACCAGCAATTAAAATTCGGAACAGTGTCATCTATAACAAAGAAATTAAATAAATTTCTTTACAAATAATGTTTATAAGATGTATTTTCTACTTATTTAAAATTATTTACCAATGATTCTCTTTTGTTTTGAGAATTCATTAATGAATTTTCGAGCTGCAAAAAATCCTCCAATGTTGATGTAGGTAAACTTATTTCCAAGTCGCTTTTAAATTTCTCTACACCTTGTGTCGTCTTAATTTCTGTTGAACTGTTTAATAAAATTGTATGTTTAATGTCATTAATTTTTTTGTCCAGGTCGTATAAAATACTTCTTTTTGCAGACGTTATTTGACTTGATATTGCTTCTTGCAGTTGTTTAAACTTGTTGTCTATGTAGTCCTTTTCAATGAGCACATTCTCTGGAACTAAAAAATAAGGTAGAGATCTAATAAATATAAAAGCAGTACATATTTAAGAGAATTTCAAGTATTTACTTGGTGGTAGATTTATTATATCTATCGCGTTTTGTTCAAAAAAAGGATTATCCATTATTTCTTCTGTTTCCATTGGTTCATCTGTCGAGCATATCCCTAAAATACAAAAATAATCATACGAGGTCTGTCCGGAAAGTATCCGACCTTGTGCTCTAACCTTGTACCTGGGGGTGCTATTGTTAAAAATAGCTATTCATCATTTAGGGGGGACCTTTATGAGTGTCCCTGCCAGGTATCACGGTCCTTCGAGTCTTCAGTCGACAACGGTACGCTGTTTAGTAAACATTGAATTTTGTGTGCGTCGCATTTCACGATGACTGAACGCATCGAACAAAGAGCCTGGCAGTGGCACTCATAAAGGTATATTATAAAGGTATACTATACCTGGATATAGTATATACCTGGATTGTTCTTCGTTTTTGGCTGGATGGTAAGCAATGAATTTACTGATGCCGAAGAAGGCTTATCACACTGTCGGAAGGATTTCACAGCATTCAAACTTTCTTCGACGACCCTTGTGGACATTTTAATAGGTTGGCTTTCATCACATCCGTCATCAGTGCATTTAATTTCATCGGACTTCAAGGCTCGCTTGAGCCGCCTTTTCCCTTGTTTTAAATCTTCTAATTATTAAAAAAGAAAAACTTACAGTAATCGCACATTAATTTACAAAAAAACTATTAATTATTATTATTACATACTTGCGTATGCAATGACTTTTATTGCAAAAGATTCCCAATGTGTCTCGGGCTCTTTCAAAGATAATAGCCAGCTGTCAATGTGCTGGTAATCGCACGGACCTGGATATAGGCATGTATATCTGTTCTCTGTATCTTCGTGCAACCATGAGAGTGGGACCAAATCAAGACTTCTAGAATTTAAGTCTTCGTCCGTAAAACGAACGATCGCGTATCGTTCCTTGTCTTTACGGAACATCTAATTAAAAATATAATTATTTAGCTGTGTTCACCTAACCTTAAATATTGTTTCCTTACCTTGTTTTCAGTCCAATCATTTTCATTTTCCTTGTTCATTTTGTTTTCACGCAATATTCTTACAATTTTTATCTTTAATAGTTGAAATACTTCTAACTTTGAAATACTTCCAACTCCTGCCTTTTCATACAGTTATAGGAAGGGATCGTAACTAATTGTGAGCCGGTCACCGCAGGTCAACAATCGTAACTATAGGCCGACTGCGCATGTATGTGCACGCTTATACACACACATATATATATGTGTGTAATTCCCAATATATTTGTGTTTACATTTGTATATTTATATTTATGTATATTTATATTTATATATTTTACACTTATTAGTACTTATTTTACTTTTCCTTATATATTTTTTATTATATATTTTTATTATTTGCTTTATTTTATATTATTTATATATTTTTTAAAAATATCATTTGCCACTTGTGATTTATTAAAAATGTAGCAAAGTAACTGCGTGTAATTCTTTTTCTATGTTTAATAAAACACATTTGTACTTAACCATTTTTATTGATACTAATTTATGCGATGCAATAAATCCATTTCCACGAAAAATGCCTACTTGCATCGATGAAAGTGGATAAGTAAAGGCCTCATGTTGATTAGTCATTTCATATCCTAGGACAAAAATTTCTTCGGTTGTAATAATATCATTTTCATATCTATGACATTTCTTCATGATTTGTTTAATGATAAATATTTGTGAATTTTTCAATAAAACGGCGTTATTAGGATGAATTGATGTCAAAGTAGAGTTATTCATTTTAATTGAAGATATAATTTTATAATCATTTCCATCATATGTAAATAGTCCAGCGCCATCATCTATTATACAGTTCGAAAGGGTACATTTTTTTTTAATTTTTAAACGATTTCCAGAATTTAATTCAGATAATCTATTAACTATCTGAGTTAATGGTTTATTGGGAGATTTGACTAATTTTTTAAATAGACCAATGTAGCTTTCACCCCAAAATGCTGAAATGCCACTTAATGGAATGTTATGATTTATCACATCATTTGCAACATGAATCAAATTATGCATACTGAGGACTTGAGAGCTTTCTCCATACAATGATGGTAATAATCTGAAAAACTGTGTTAGCAAATATTTAGCGTAATCACAAGTGGTCATCGATAAGTCACTGCTATTCAATATACGACATGCTGCAGAAAACAGTAAAAAATGTCTGTAGTGATGATCGGGTAAAACACTTTTCAAAACGACAGTACCACAGTATAATAGGAAAAATCTAAATTGCGTGGCTTTCCATCTTGAAACGAGATAAACATCAAATTTTTTTCTTTGGAATTCACAAGGCACATCGGCTGTAACATTTAACATTATTCTGCGTAAATTATTGATATCTCTTCGTTTCAATCTTGCAGAACTTTTTTTCACAGTCCAATTTTCTAACAAATATTTCATCGTTCCGAGATATAGCAGATGCATAGAATCTAGAACCACATCATTAATGATATCAAAATTCGGCAACAGTAACAATGGAGACATAACATTATCTTTATGGTGCTGTGGTTGATTTCGGCCTTCGAAAGACTCTTTTGTACGTTTTAAACAATTTGTTTCAGGGTATATTCTTTTTTTCTTCAATTCTTTCCCAACGCTGATTCCTTTAACTGAACATCGTTCACAAGCGTAGAATGCGCCAGGTGGTTTAATGCATTTTATAAATGACCTTGCTGGGGAATCAGCTATAATTGCAATTATTCTAAAAGAATATGTTCTTGTGTTGATTGTTACTCCTTGGTTAATTAATTTAGTCGCTTCCGTTACAAAATCATTTAGATAATCATGCGCACTTGCAGGTTTTGAATCACCACAATATAAAGCAATTGTGAAAGGTTCACAATTGTATTCTTTATGAAATATTTTCATAATAATTGGCCAAACTTGTATTTGCGAATTATTGTAAATTTGCACACCATCAATGTGAACTAATATACAAATTTCTTTTTCTATAAATATCTGTGTATTAATAATGTGATTCAAACCATGTTCTATGCCGATATAAATATATTCTCCTTGAGTATTTTTATTGCTTTTTATTTGCTGTAAAATTCTATGGTGTTTCGTTCCTAAAAGACTTTGAGCAGTTCTTGGTAAAGATGAGTGTCCTTCCTCTCGCAGTATTCGTAGCAAATCTGTTACAACATTCAACTGCAATGTGTCCAAATTATCAAGCGTCCACTGTTGAATTTTACTTTTTATATTAGAGACGCTATTAATTTCTTCATTGCATAACACTGCACTATTAGAGTCATTTTTATGAGAAACATTAGTACTACTATCATTAATACTATTGCTTTGTATAGAATCATTCTCACTCGTATTAACTGTTTCTTCACTATCAAACATAACCTCACGTAATCGCACATCAGTGTCAATATCATTTTCTTCTCTACTGCTGTTATTTTTATTATTAACTATTATATTATACTCACTATTGTCTTTTTTATTTTTCTCCAGCTTATTTAATTTTCGAAATTTTTTTTGTCTGTAATAATTTTGCGACATTGTCGTCACTTTATCCAAACGGCGTTTCGGTTTTCTACTGCGTTCGAAAAAAATAACGAAGGTAATTACCTTAACTTTCAGAGTATGTGTAAGTCACAGGTGAAGAATATAAAATTCAATAGTATTATGTACCAACCTGACTGGCTAAACTTGATAGAAATCACAACGTTTCGACATAGGCGAATTAGTCAAGTACTGATCAAGCCAAGTACTGATAAATCATTGGTCATCGTATATCGGGCCAAGCATTGGCGCCATAGCAAAGTGTACAGTTTCTTATATGAATGGCACCCAATCATTCGCCAAGCATGGGCCATTATAGAATGCCAAGTATTGGCCAATCATCAGTTACCATATATCGGGCCAAGT